ATCGCTCAAAGATTGACGGTAAAAATCGGAATAGTGTGCAAACCTAAATTTTGTAGAAATTTGCTGATATTTCAGTATTTCAAAAACAATTGTGCAGACTTTGCGCGGCTATATCTCCGGAAGGAAGCACCCGATTACGCTCAAATTTTCAGGATAAACCCTTTGGACCATACACAAGACGCTGCCAGTGAAAAAATACAGAAAATCGAAACTTTGTTTTTTGACCCTCTGAACCCAGACTGCCACCTTAAAAAAAGTTCAAAAAACCGGGACATTCGGGGCGAATCCATGGAGTTTTCAGGAAAATCCTGTATCCGACAAACTGTGGTTTTTCCAGGAGTTTGCTTGAAATCCCCGGGACCCCGGGAGGAGTGTTGATTTTCCGGGATTTTCCCGGGAAAAACGGGAGGGTTGGCCAGTATGCGATCATTCCCCAATGCCACGATCCAAGACTGGAATCGTCTCCCATCTGCCCTGCTACGCAACCTTCCCACGCAGAAGGGAATGCAGCCTGGGCATTCAAGGAACGCGGCTCGCGCCTCCTACTACTCGTACAAGTCTCTCCGCAGTCGAGACTGGCACTCAGCCACAGATGCCCTCTGAACTTCCTGAACACCCTCTCCGCTTGCACCCTGGCTCCCCCCTTTTTACTCTATCACATGTATCATCTTTCCATTTTTTCCACCCTCTATACAAATGTACTCCCGGGCCCCCCTCTCCTCCCCCCTGTATATGTACCTGTGCCTACTCCTCACCACTTTTTGGTGCACCGAAGTGTCGCTGAAGCTGAGACCTCAGGTTGGCCGGGAGATGCTCCAGTTTCACCACCGGCACCACAGTACAGTTGCGTCTGCGACCACCTCTATCATGCAGCCTGGTATTCTGTTCTCGAGGTTCGTGGTCACGTAAAAAAAAGAAAAAAAGGATCAATGTGTAAGAAAAATAAAACCCAGACACAGTCATGGCTCCATGGGGCTAGTGAATCAGATAATTATATCCTCTGCCGGGGTATAGCGTAATGATTGGCTCTGTAGCTGACCTGTATGCTATGGAACACATATCCGGCGCATAAGGCACGTTTCGGCTATTTTCGGCCTGGGCATTTTTGTCCGAAAATTTGTTCTGGGTAAAATGTTGTTTTGCAAGGTTCAATGTGACAGTGCGTACAGGCTAGCAGCAGAAGCGCCTGGAATTTAATAAGGCCGAAATGTGTGTTTAGCCCTTGGAGGCTGAAATTGAAACTGTTAACACGCCGAAATTTTGTAGACTCACAGTATCTACTACAGTACTAGTAGTCACAGTGGTGGACAGTTACCATGGTTACAGCAGAGTCACATGCCGATTATCCGCACCTCTCGGGGGCACAGGGTGTTTCCAGGGGGGGGGGGGGGGGTCGGATGAGAAAGTTGTTCTGATAAGGGATCAGTCCCACATCTATCTAAATTAATTTTCATTTTATTTATTCCTGCATCATAGTGTTTTCCATCATTTTTCCATTCCCATAGGCAGTAAAACAGGGACTAGGCAAACTTCAGCTCCTAAAATGACACTATCTTTATACACATGATGTTGACTCCAACCTGTAAGTTGTAATACTAGTACATGTTCTGCATCGCTTGAATGATGCTCCGAGTGGGGGAAGTCAGCCTTGACTAAAACCACGAAAAGTCTGCTAATTATGTTTTCGTCCAGCCCCACCAGGCGATCCGGATAATCGATAATCCGGATAATTGACGTCCGGATAATCGGCGTTCTACTGTACTCATAACTCATACCCATGTGGCCCTTTCCTTCTTTTCTTTTTCATTTGTTTTTACATGTACATACAGTCAACTTCGCTAATAATGACTGCGGATATAACGACAATTCGCGAATAACGACAGAATTTCCCGGAAGATGCCCAGAGCAAAGTCCCATGTAACTGTAATACATATAAGGAGGCTTCGGGTATAACGACACTTCGCGAATAAGGGGCCGTCCGTAAATATCGATGGTTTTTTACTAATTTTTAGAGACGATATTCCTTCGTATGGGGGGGGGGGGGAAGGGTTTTTTGACGCTTTGACGCTGTTCGTTGTTTTTGGCGGAAAAAAATATCGATCTTCACATACGCTATTTTTAGGTATGCACCTTGTACTTGCTTGTCGCGGCTCGTGCACCATGCAGCATGCAGGCACTTGAACCTTGTGACTTGTACTACTACTAGTACTGCAGCACGTATTATGTACCTACCTGTACACACGAACCGTTCAATATAAAAAATATCGGTCCACTGCATAAATGTATGTATGTTCGTATTAGGGGGGGGGGGGGGGGGGTCTGGGGAGATATGAACAATTATCACTCTTCTATATCGACCTCCACTAATTCTCGTGATCCTTGACTGGTCCTATATTACCCATATCGCCGCAATATCGACCGCTTATATCAAGAGTACATAACCCCCCAGAGTGTGCAACTCCCACATACCCTGTTGTCCCGACAGAATTTCAAGTTGACGTCATTATTTATGACGCAATGCTCCTTGCAGCAGTGATTTACAACATGTGTACGGGTGTCAACGCATCACACGTTTTTCTTTGCAATAATTTGTACAGGACCGATCGGCTTCGGTCAACCACAGGTTCCGGATTCGTCTGATAATCCGTGTACAGTGCGCATTGCATCATCAAAATGACGTCAACTTGAAATTCTGTCGGGACAGCACCCATAGTGGAGTTGCATACTCTGCTGATCTGGGGGGTTATGTACTCTTGCTTATATCGACCGCTTGTATCGACCACTTAAAGGTTCAAATTTTGGGGTTATGGCAAAGGAATCGTGATAAATAGGATATTGACCAAGACGAGGTCTATATGGGAAATATAGGCCGAGTAAAAGACCGAGGTCCGCCGAGGTCTTTTACGAGGCCTATATTTCCCATATAGACCTCGTCTTGGTCAATATCCTACTTGTATACATATCGTCTCTAAAAAAACATCGATATTTAGTATTTACGGACGGCCGATACGGACACTTTTCTGATGCCCCGCCGAGTGTCGTTATAAGCGAAGTTGACTGTACTGAAGTAATAATACTGTTGTATTCTCTTTTACTGAGAAGACCAGGGTGGAAGATTGAGATGCTATTTAGGCCCTCTTCAGACTAGGTACAAAACAGCCTACATTGTATAACAAAAGTGATAAAGTATAAGTCACATGTACATAGAAGTTTCCAAGACAACAACAAGAATCTGGCGGGAACTCGCCTAAAAAGCTGCCCAATCCTTTCCGGCAGGTTGCGAACCCTTGTACAAAGGCAACTTTCCTGCATTTATCGTACTTTCACCAGGCAGTCATACAAACTTTGTACTCGGGTACGACTGTCCGCTGCTTTCACACATCCCAGGCGCCTTGTGCAATTGCGTAGGGTCAAAGGTTGCCTGTATATTGCATGAAAAATGTGTAGTCTGAATGCAGGGGTGGAAAATGTTGCCTTTTGGGTTTTATGTGATTTTTGTACTGGATGTTCTATGTACGTAGTCTGATGAGGGCCTTAGGAGGAGTGAAGCAATACAAGCTGACCGACTCATTATCATTCTGAAGAAGACATTCGTCGAGACGTTTTATGTCACTGTCGATCAGTGAAGCCTTGCTCCTGTTGTGTGGTGCATGGTCCACCTATCCGCCATGCGCCGGTGCATTACATTTTTATGATTCAGATTTTATCCCTTGGATGTACCTGTGCTGCATGGTGTACATGTAAGTATTATCCGGTATGGACATACTGTACATGTAAGTAATGCTTTTGCTGTACTTTGACCCTGACAGTGAAAGCTTCAGAAAGACATCATTGAGCTTGATCAGATTCAAGGGGCATTCGGCCATACTGCATGCATTACAATGTCATGTTGTTCTACATTATTAGTATTACATTGTACATGTACTGGTACATGTAGTATTAGGGCTGAAACGCCGACTATTCAATAACTCCTAACGATCAGCCAATATCATTAACGATCGATATATTGGTTTTATCGATTCTTGTCGGCTCTATCGAACACCAGTTTATGAAGAAATTATAATTATGATACCTTTGCTATTATTTTAGAAATTTGTGGCACCGCACTTTGACATCTGTAGATATCTGGCTGGTTTCATCAACATGAACTACTCAAGTAGAGAATTTAATGTTGTTTCTAGAGTGAAGAATCTTGTGATCACCCTCTGGCAACTGCTCTCATCTCCGACTTCTCCAACAAATGAACCGAAAAGGCAAAGTCTTCTCTCCCAATCTCTTTCAAAGCCACAAATCAATTTTACTGCGCTTGAAAGTACATGCATGATTGCACTCGTATCCACTATCAGATGGAGTGCAAGGGCTAGAATGTCTGTCACTGATATGCATGCATAAAAATTGTTAGCACTCGTTTTGACCACTAACGATTATCGATTGCACTCTTAACAATCGATATGCGAGTTATCGGTATATTTGTTTCAGCCCTAATTATAATATTATTATGACTGATTGTCATGTAAATGCAGATCTCAGAGATCATGCCATCATGATCTGACCTCTGCATGCAGAGTATCAAGCTTTGCAGAGTACAGAAAAAAAGTCTTTCATAGTGACATACCTGATCCTTACTTAGCGATCCACTTAGTCATTGTAACTGCGGTTAAGTCACCAAGGTCACGCACGGGTCAACAGCGTGCATGATTCATATCAGCCTGCGCGCTATAGCGCTAGCGCATAGCGCTGCAACTACACGATTTCGAGTTGCAGGTCAATGTTCTATTTTGGGTAGCCCTCTGCTAGCTGCCTGGCCTAGCCCTCTCATCCCTGACCCGTGCACGTATCCATAGCTATCCGGCCATCACCATGATCTCTGCACAACAAGCTGCAAACCAAGCTATACGGACTGCATGCACTGATATGACCGCGGCTCTGCCAGTCGAGTCCCCAGAGATCCCAGCCTTCTTCAGTGCTAGCATGCTGCTGTCGATCTGTCGCTCCATCATCGGACGACGTGACTTCTCCACCCGTAGATCTACGTAGATGTCAACAAACGTGCGTTACGCGCCTAGCTAGATATCTACGGACATACGGACTACGCGGCAAGTAGTAGTCTACTAGCGCTCTCGATTCGTTACTTCTTTCTTTCCAAGTGCACCACCCATCCGACCTCTTCATCTTCACAACGAGGAAAATTCTTCGAGTTTAGTTGCTACTGTGAGTGCAGTGGAGTGCTGGGGACTTGTTCTGTTTGGTATAAATCATGGCTGCTTTGGCGGGTTCTTCTCGCTTGACACAGCGTGGACAAGCCACGGCTGGCGATGGAGATTCACCTTCGTCGCTATTCGCTGCGACCCTGGATAGCAGCAGCAGCACGCACAGCAGCAAGCAGCAACAGAAGCAGCAATACGTACCAAGCTGTGCGTGCGGCCTCCTGGATCATCACCAGCTACCACGCTGGATTCAAGTGATCGATGCCTCGCCGGGCTGGATTCGATCATACCATCGACCTCCGCAGGCGTCAGTGTCCGCATGCCTGGCCAGCGTTTTCCAGTGGAATTCAGAAACGGTGAACATTTGGAGTCACTTGCTGGCTTTCATGGGCACAGTGTACTTTCTCTACGACTTCGTTACCAACCAATTCTTTTTCAATACCAGGTAAGCCGCTTTTGGCTCTGAACTTGGCCGCGAAATCAAAGAGGGAAACGGAAACACACGAAAAAGCACCACTAGCGGCCATAACAATCGTTAGTGAGGTCGAGGCACTCGCACGTGCACTACCAAGTGTTTTCGTAACGAGGCATTTGCATAACGTTTCTCTCCCACTGCGCTTCCCTGGCCCTTGACGGGCATGTGTGACTTCTACTGTTCCACGTTCGGTCTCGCTGCATGCGCTCGTATCATGTGTGCTAATGGGGATCTGTGTCCGAGGGATCCTTCGTGGCATCAATCAAAATCATAGATGCAGGACTAGTTGCAGGCTGGTCCGTCATAGTGCGAATACCCTTGTCTGAAAAAGTACGGACAGTGACTGTTTTTAGACTGGCATGTAACCGAACTCTGTTCTATCACAGCTTGCCAGTGCAGTATGCCCGGCATCAGAATTTCATAGGGACAATTCACGCTGTTTTGAAAAGACTATTCTTAAAAGCGTCAGTTCTGAGACACTGGCAATTACGGCCTCTGTGTAAACTGTGCCAGCTGTGAATGCAAAATCAAGAACAAATCAAGAACAAATCAAGAACAAGTTTCCCTGCAGTCGTGCATAGAGTCCCGAAGTCCGCACTACACAAAGAAGTACAATACTAGTACATGTATAGGCAATACTATGGCTGTACAACATTTACACCGAAATGACAACGTGTTCTACATCTAGAGTATTGTGATTGTGTGATTTCGGGAGGGGGGGGGGGGTGGGGGGACACACACCGTGCAAACCTCTATACCCTATCGGGAATCCCGTATTAGAATAGTGCACTGTACATTGCTGCTGAGCACGACGCCGAGGCACACGATTTCTACATCCTCGGTTGGCTTGTTGGGCACGGTTCTGTGAGACTTGGCATGCGACTGAGTTAGGTATACATGCATTCAGTGATAACTGGTTAATGATAATGATTGATGAACATGATAATTGTACTGCTCAGTGTGGGAATGATGATATTTCAGAGATTGCCCATGTTCCGTGTACCTGCCTACTACATTTCTCCGGCTGCAGCTCCAGCAGTTCTGTTAACCGGGGACCACTGTTCCGAAGCCACTGAGTCCTGTTAACCGGGGACCACTGTTCCGAAGCCACTGAGTTCTGTTAACCGGGGACCACTGTCACAGTCTGAAGCCGCACTCTATGCTAGCTCCCGTTATGACTGAGGCCGTGAGCATGCAGCCGGGTTGCGGCAACTGTGCCGCCATGGCGGCGCAGCAGTAAGCATAGAAAGCTGTTGGTCCTGCGCAGTGCATTGCGTATAGACAGGCCTGCATTGGCCATATCCTGTATGCCCCACATCCGAGTCACCAGACTCGGTGCACCTGGTACCCCCCCCCCCCTCCGTCCCCCTCTCCCGGGCCCCGGCCGTCCTGATCATGGCTAACCGCCCCATTCAGCTGATTCCCTGTAACCGTTGTGCGCTGTACCAAACTTAACATTTCCAAGATGCGTTTAAATATGTGTAAGCCCAGTAAATGTCAGAAGTCAGGAGGTGAGACGGGGCTAGTGATGATTCGCGGTTTACCCAGTCATTGCGACAAGGCCATAGGTGAGGCTCAGATGCGTCCAATAGAGTGCGTAGGAGATGTGCTGGTATTTACAGCCATGATTACGTCAGTCAAAAAAAGGTTTGAAATGATCCGTTATTCAAAGAGAAGTAGCCCATAGCTAGCCTAGGTGAGTCTTCTCTGCAGAGTCGCACACTCGGAGTGGTATTTCTCATTGTCTTGATCCTCTCCTGATCCAGTGCAGGCATCTGGTAATTTTACCAGCATGCTGCGCCGCTGACGCCTGTGAACCCCGTTTGTTTTCAATTGCCGCAATTATTTCTGTGTCGCAGTGATTCAGCCAGGGAGCATGCATGCTGCTTTTCTAGTGCGCTCGCAGGAGCCTTCCACGCACTTCAATCTTTCATTCCCGATTGTCAGCGAGTCGTTTTTGAACAGACTACAGGCTTCTCGTACTCCCAGTACTGACTGATTTGCTCTAACTTTTGAATTCCTGACTACCCCCAGCACTGAATTTTACATAATTAATATTAATTATGGGTACGTTTTGATTGCTGAAACATTGCTGGCCCTAGCTTCTGACAATATCAGCTACTAACGTTAGTCGAGGATATGCTCACGGTGTGGGTGGGTGCGTGCATGCGTGTGTGTGTGTGTGTGTGTGTGTGTGTGTGTGTGCTTGCGAGTGCACGTGCGTGTATGAAGGAGAGAGAGAGTGTGTGTGTGTGTGTGTGTGTGTGTGTGTGTGTGTGCGTGTGTACGTGTGTGTTATTGCTGTGAAAGTGGACCCGAAAACCCCCTTGTGATGTTGTACTGTAGGGACAGACTGTCTGTGTGGCATGCATAATGCATAAACCGACTCACACTTCCAACAGCAGCTGTTCCCGTCTGCTTGAAACTGCTCTATTGCAGGGACTATGGTTTCTCGTTTGACGAGTTGTCGACCATGGACAAGGTTGTGATGCTGACGTTTGCCTATTCGAGCCTTGCCATATTTGGCATCTCCACTACTTTCCACACCTTCATTTGCCACTCGCCTGGCGTTTCGGACCAGCTGAGAAGGTACACACTGCAAGTGCTGATCTGTGATGCACAATAATTGTAATTTTAAATGTTTTAAATTTATTATTTTAAATTTATTATTTTATTACATAAGACATACAGTAGCAAGTGCTGTGCTACTGTAGGGTAATGCTGCGTAGACCCGGCAGGCGTGTGTACATGTCCAGGTATTTTCAAGTACCGTATATCCCCGACAGACGGATGTAGACAGACCAACAAATACGGGGCAGCGTGCAGCTCATAATTCATGGCATGTGCACATTGTGCTGTTGTCATTGGCTGTGAGTAGGTTAGCTATGAATGTGGGCCAATGCAGTGTGCTGGACTGCTACTTGTTTCACAATATTTGTGGTCCGTCTTTGCTCTCAGCCCTGATGACTGTCAATGTTGTACACCACCAGTTGAGGTGTCAGAGTTGGAGCGGTGGTGTGTACATATACTAGCTTTAGTAGTTCCCCTAACGGGGCTAACTTGTTAGCTCCATGGCCTTTATATCGTGCCAAGTCACCATTGGATGTTGCTGCTGCTGCTGCTGCTGCTGCTGTTGTTGTTGTTGTTGTTGTTGTTGTTGTTGTTGTTGTTGTTGTTGTTGTTGTTGTTGTTGTTGTTGTTGTTGTTGTTGTTGTTGTTGTTATCGTCGCCGTCGTTGTTGTTGCTGTTGCGGTGTGTATTCCCTCATCCAGACTGGATCACGTGGCTGCTGTCAATCATGTTGCCTGTGGCATGTATCCCATCGTCTACTCGGCACTGACCTGCTCGCCGTACCGCTGGCACTACATGTGGGCCATTGCCATTTCCTCCATTGTCTGCATGTGTGTCTTCTACTTTGCCGACGTGTACGAGCCGGAGAAGGCATGGATTCGCGGTACCATGGCTCTGACAGTCGGTAAGTAGTGGTACCATGGCTCAGTGACAGTCGGTGAGTGGGCATTGCACACCGGTCCGCTGTCATGGCCAGAGATTCCATCGAGGGTCACTCAAGTGCTGCCTGACGTTAGCCATTGTGCTTTTGGAAAAATGACACTGGGAACTTAGTAGCTTGAGTGCATGATGTGTCCGGAGATGGTCTTTGGTGACTTTCTTCCCCAGCTACATTATTCAGTTATCCCCTTCCCCCAATCGGCTCATTAAAATGCAACTTTACTTGATTTACTTCAAGTGCTGCTGCTTCAGGATGCTCCTGCTCATGTGTATCACGTGAAGTTATAATGTCATCTTACGGCCCTTTCCCCATCTGGCTAGCCAGTCAACTGTGTTTTGGTCGTTTGCTTGTGTTTCCGACACTGCTAGCTGGCATCGCAACATTTTCTCTTGTCCATCACGGCACCTACATCGGGTCTGATGGGATTTGGAAGGCCATGGGCGGTGTGTGGCTCTTACGCATGATGTCCTGCAATGCCATGTCTTTCGTCTTCTACGTGCTGCATTTGCCGGAGAGACTGTGGCCGGGCAAGTTCGACCTCGTGGTAAGTAACTCCACAGTGAACATGCGAGGGTGGGGATTCTATTGTGCAGTCATGTTGTTACGTTTGTTCCTAGTCTCCACTCATTAAGCATGCGGTGAACTCTGATGTAAAATGTATCGATTGTTCATGTCCTGTAATCTGAGTTGGGTCTTTTGAATGCACGCATGTGAATTATGGCAATGTGGCGGCCCGACCGGCAATGTTGGCGTAACTTGAACTGTGATGGCAAACAACGCACTGCCCTATTTAGAAGTTCTAGTTCAGTTCATCCTTGCTTGCTCTGCTGCGTAGTCCAGTTCACTCTTGCTTGCTCTGCCGCGTTTGTGTCGATGATACAGGGGCACAGTCATCAGCTTCTCCACATCGTGGCCACGCTGGCAACCCTGTGCCAGGCGTATGCCATTCTCTCGGCATTCGGCTACAACCTGCACTCGCCGTGCGTGATGTAGACATGCGCATTTCCATACCATGCACACTACAATGATGCGGGTCTGCTGTAGAGCTTAGTGCAGTGCCACCAACAGCAGCAGCAGCAGCAGCACTGAGTGCAGTAGCGACCCCTGGCACCCATCATCAGAGTCTACATTAACATCACCACCACCACTACCTTGCACTATGACACCACCACACATTCATCAAGGACAGCATGCAGTTCCTTGTCCTTGTGTCATTTAGCCACCCAGTCTCCTCCTGTATTCAACTTCCCGTCTCACGCTCTGGCACTCCACCTGCTTAGTACTGGTTTGTTTCCATGTCCTGTTTTAGTAATAATGTAACGCTACATATGTGGTAATGTCATCAGTGATCAGCGCAGTCACGCACTGTTGTGAGATGAATGTACTGGCTGTGACTACGGTCATGTTGCCACGATCCACCCACTAACTAATACATGTTTTTACCAATACCATGATTGTGCAGCATGCATGCATGCATGCCAGCGTAACATAAAAAAAGCTGCCTGTAGGAATACAATGTACGAAGTAGGTGAGCCAGCTTGCCATACCACCGAGCGACACTGCCCTCCTGTTCGCGCCTTGTGCTATGTTGTTATGTTGTACTAATTACAGTTTTGCATGGCTCGTTCCGCTTTGCCAACTCTATCCAAACTCTTAGACAAATTATGCCATCCAGATCTACAACTCGACAAGTTTACCTTAGGATTTTCCTATTCTAGCCTATTTTCTCATTTTCTCATTATCCCTGTTACCATGACTACCTTAGGTACCTTTATGAGTTCTTTTCAAATTCACACCTTCCACCAGATGAAAGCCAAGTGTTACACGGCAGCTATAAATCTGCACTTGGAGCTTAACCGACAATAATAATAAGTTATCCGTTAATGTGCTGGGTGTGTAGTTATTGGTTTCACTTTCTTGGCGCTGTGCTGGCAGCAGCGTGCAAGGCACAGCGCTACTTCGTCCGGTGGGATTCGCCGACAGGATTGTGCGGCTGCTTTGCTTGAAGCCCTGCATCGGCCTTGTGCAGGCATGATCACAACCAGGGAGTAGTAAAATACCGGTATTTCACTACTTCCTGGTCACAATTATGTAAAGCTCAGCTCATCTCAACCAGTAGAAGTAGTGGCCAGTGGGCGGCACACACATGTTGCCGCTTTAGACTAGTAGTATAGTTCTGGCATTATTATCAGCAGCAGCAGCAGCGGGGATTGAAGCAGCAACCGCAGCAGATAAAAATAAAATCTATTCATGAGAGCAAAGCAGCGAAAGTACATGCATGCAGCAACAATGGTATTATTGTCTAGAAAGAAAAGAACCACAATCCACTAGCGTGCAGACCAATTTCTAAGGGTAAGGACGGCATAATTTTTTTAAACCAGCAGAGGTGAGTTTGTACTAAGCCAGCAAAACATCAAAAACAGAACAAAAGACAATGAGTAGTAGCAGTCTATTGACATTAGTAGTGCCAGCAAATGATATTCCATGTGTCGAAGAAGTACTCGCCAGCAAGCGTTCCTTCAGCACGTGTGTGTGCGTGTGTGTGCGCGCGTGCGTGTGCGTGCGCGTGTGTGTGTAATGTGAAGCAGAAAGCACAACATCTTCACATCCAGCTGTGCACGGTAGAGCGCATGCCGATTTACAGCCGGCTGGACACGTGGAAGCCACCTTCAAACGCGAGCTGAAGTGCGTCCTCGATGGCGTCCACGAAGAATAGCTGCATAGAGTTCTACAATGTAGTCCACCAAACAGACACATAACATACCATAACATTGAGAAGACACTCGCCAACAATTATATCAAGTAATCCAGGATCTCGCGGCAGTTGTAGCCATTTCGACCAAAAGCCAAAGGTCTCAACACAGTATGTATGAGCAATGGCGGCGGTGGCAGCCACTCAGACCTGCTGTCAATGTGACCAAAGCAGACCACCGAGACAGGTCAAAGAACAAGGCACAAACAAAAGAAAAAATCTTAATACCGGTACGAGTACATTTGCAGGTGATCAATATCACTAGGGAGACGTTACTACCTTACCTTGATGTCATCTGAGATCTCTTTGACGTCCTAGTCAGCACACACATTGGCACAGAGAGAAATCAAGAAAGAGAAACTTGCATGTATTTTCTATCCGGCCATGCAACAAAGCCAACATGAGTATGACGCCAGGTACAGCAGAACACCGATTAGCTGAACTTATCCACACGCTCAATTATCCGCAGTGGCTGTGGGTTGTGTAGGTGGTGTACAAATGTGTGTACTTTGTGGTGTGTGTGTGTGTGTGTTTGTATAGGGGTGAAACAAGTACATATGTATACCAAATACTCGAGAGCAGTCGCTCGTTTTTTCTCTCTCAAAAATAATCGCGCTCGGAATAAATCAGAGTACTCGTTCCCACAGTGTACATGCATTTACCATAGAAATCTACAGTTTCAGAGCAGCAGTCAGTAGATATGGACGTGCAGACTCTGTAGTGAACATTTGTACATGATCGTACACGAGTAGAAAGAGTCTAAATGACCCACCAATCAATACACCCTTGGTGTGCAATTGTCAAGAGATGAAGAATACTCGAAAAATCGACCGGGGAAAACAAGAGTACTCGAACTCAGGATCCCAATGCCAACTTTCACCCCTAGTTTTTTATGCACAAACTTACGATGTGCAGTGTACACAGGTGCAGGTTGCTTTCGAATGCGTCTTTGCGGTCCATTCAATGAGAAAACTTGAATGTGTAACGGTGCAAACAGCCTCTAATATATCCTGTGTCCTGGTGTCCATTCATGCACGAGGATGTGCCTTTTCTCGGCAATATGAGTATACAATGCTCGGCAGATGCTGAAAAGAATCAGTATGGTGGTGGTTCGACCAGTCGTCTTACCCGAACCCTTAATGGATGGGTTCTACCCAAAGGAGGTCGGGTAATCAAAGATGTACTGTACTAAGGCCGCGTTCACACGACAACGCACGGGCAGTTTTCCGTTTCCAATCCCGTATTTCTTCAAAGGCGCCATTCCGTTTCGGTGCGCTTACACGATCCGAGCTGGCCACAGTTTGTATCGTTTTCGCGCGTCTACACAGGCGCGAAGGATCTGCGAAAGTTCGTCATGCGAACCGTGTTGTCGTGTGAGCACCAATCACAATCAAGCGCGAAGGCCATCACGGGAACTGTCACACTACCAAAACTTGGCCACCTGACGTGACATCGGGAGCAGGAGAAATCTTAGATCTACGCGCACATGGCGTTTCATTTTTGCACAATCAAGAACATGATGATGAAGATTGTGGTAGTAGCTATGAAACGCGCGCGCGCGCGCGCGCGAAGAACTATTGATCTGGACTACATGCATTGTGCTTTTCTTCGCCCCTGTCGGCCCGCCCGTTACCTTGTGTATACTGTATACAGTATACTGTATACAGTATACTGTACCCGTACTGTACCCGTACTAGTCACAATCAAGCGTGTGAAGGGAGTTACTTCCACACAACCAAAAATACATTTGTTTGCTAGGAAGCGCGGCTGATGAACTATCATTGAAACATGTCCGTTTTTGCATTGCCCATGGCGGCATGAGTATCGACCGCCCTGGCCCACCCATTGCTTTACCTCGGGCATCATGTTAGGCCTGCGTTGCGCGGGTTCGCCGTCCTGCAAGGCCGAACAAAACACAATCCTTCTGTAGGTCAAGCGCGAATGGCCATCGCGGGAACTTTTACACCACATTTCGCCTTTATTTTTTGTTGTAGTAGCTAGGGAGCGCGCGTGCGATGAACTATTGGAACTGATGTACTATTGGGTTTTGCTGCGTTTGCATCGTCCATGACCACCCATCGCCTTGTGTGCGTCGAGTGCACAAGGTACTGTTCAAGTACAGTATAAGTATTTCCAAGTCAGTATCCAAATTGTGTTCTGACTGTCCAGTTGTCCGCGGAGCTTTGCAGGTGCATTTTTTTCCGGTTTTGAGAATGTCGCAAGTATCAGTGCCAGTTGTGCCAGAAGAAGTTTCTGCTGCTAGCGAGCCGTGTGCCCCAGGCCCATCGCAACCGTGTGCCCCAGTGGCAGTTGCATCACAAGACCCAGCGACAACCGGTCGAAAGACAAAGGGTCAATCCTCCAAGAAGTCCCCCTGTGAAAATTTTGTCTGGGGTGAAGATGAAGTGCGGCTTCTCCTGTCCTCTGTCCTCGATTATAAAACGAGCAAGGCGGCCGATGGTGTCGATTGGGACAGCGTGAAACGCAAATATGTTGACATCCTCGACAAGTACATTATGGAATCGACTCCGAGCCCGGGAGAGTGTTCTGCTGCAGCGCAATGATTTAAAGCCATAACGAGAGATATATTGGCATCGAAGGTGAAAGCAATTCGCCTTAAGTATCGTGAAGCTGTCGACAAGGGGAGCAGAAGCGGTTCCGGAAGAGTTGTGACGCTCTTCTACGAAATATGCCAGAAGATCTGGGGTGGCTCCCCATCCACAACCCAAATAACAGCAGGTGTGGAGACGGACGATGTACAGATGGTGTCGCCAACACCAGTCGCTGTTGATGCTGCAATCCAAGAAGATATTGACAATCCCCCGGCAGCTTTAGATTCCGCAGATGAGCTGACGGAAGACGTCATTTCTTCGAGACGGGTGCTCCTTGATGACAAATTGAAGAATCATAAGCAGGAGAGGCTCAAGAGGAAAGCGAGCATTGAGTCGCAAACCTTGGCACTGGCACAGGAGGACCTGCAGATGAAGAAGAAACTATTTGACAGAATGGCGCAGGTTGACAACGACCATTCCAAGACGATGGAGAGCCTGAACTCAAATATGGCGAGAATGACAGAATCGATCAGTTCAGGTTTTAGTATACTGCAGACCCTGCTTCACACAACACAACACTCGCCACCACGGTCATCAAGGACCCCCAAGAAAGGAACATCCCGTTGAAGAGTGTGGGGGACTTGGAAGAGGTCTGCGCCACTGCCACTGACAAGAATCAGTGGCGTGTCATGTTCCATCAGTAGCTGCTGCATTTTGTCCGCTCCGGTCAGTAACTCCGTTCTTAACGTTCAAGCAGTAACCGCTGCGTTTTGGCCGCTCAGTAACTATTGGTGCTTGCACTCCGTTTCCCACACTTCCCCGCACACTTTCCCCAAAGCAAGACATTTTGTTCCCGCGCGGCCGCTGTGGACCACACACATACGACGACACTCCTCACTTGAACTTTTCCGGATCCTTCACGCTCCGTGTGGACGCGCGAAAACGATACAAGCTCAGGATACAGGTTGCGAGGCCCAGTTCCGTTTCCACTGTTTACACATTCAAACATTCCCGGCAGAACATTTCCGTTTTCAAATTCTTCCACCTTGGCCAGCGTTTTGGTTTTCTTCCGTTTTGGTGTACAACGTTTCCGTTTTGCTCTCCGAACCGTGTAAACGAACCATGCATCCGAAAGGATTCGGTTGCGTTTTCGCCCCCAGCGTTGTCGTATAAACGCAGCCTAAGTAACTTAGGTGCCATCCGTAAATATAAATATTTATTTAGAAACGAAAACTAGTCGTTTAGAGGGGAGGGGGTTGAGCGCCTGTTCGTTTCTGATGCCCCCACACCCCACCACACACATACACACACGCGTGCGTGCACACACACACACACGCACACACACACACACGCACACGCACACACACACCTTTTGATTAAGTCCCGGCAGGATGACACGGCGAACACCGGCTGTGTGCGCCGCCAAGACTTTCTCCTTGATTCCACCAACCTGTAAACACATGCAGGGTAACACACCCAGGACAGCAGCAGCAGCAGCAGCAGCAGCAGCAGCAGCAGCAGCAGCAGCTAGTACTCGACATCAGGATGCAGAGTCATGTGGGGTCATGTGTCCCCGACATATCTTAAACAAAGTATGAAAGACCAGGGTATGGTCGGAACAATCAAAAACTGCTTCTGCCGGTCCTGTTCTTGCAATCATACAGCACAAACATAACAAAGGGTCAGGCTAGGCATAACAAAGGGTCAGGCTAGGCATAACAAAGGGTCAGGCTAGGCATAACAAAGGGTCAGGCTAGGCATAACAAAGGGTCAGGCTAGGCATAACAAAGGGTCAGGCTAGGCATAACAAAGGGTCAGGCTAGGCATAACAAAGGGTCGGGCTAGGCATAACAAAGGGTCGGGCTAGGCATAACAAAGGGTCAGGCTAGGCATAACAAAGGGTCAGGCTAGGCATAACAAAGGGTCAGGCTAGGCATAACAAAGGGTCAGGCTAGGCATAACAAAGGGTCAGGCTAGGCATAACAAAGGGTCAGGCTAGGCATAACAAAGGGTCAGGCTAGGCATAACAAAGGGTCAGGCTAGGCATAACAAAGGGTCAGGCTAGGCATAACAAAGGGTCAGGCTAGGCATAACAAAGGGTCAGGCTAGGCATAACAAAGGGTCAGGCTAGGCACAACAAAGGGTCAGGCTAGGCATAACAAAGGGTCAGGCTAGGCATAACAAAGGGTCAGGCTAGGCATAACAAAGGGTCAGGCTAGGCATAACAAAGGGTCAGGCTAGGCATAACAAAGGGTCAGGCTAGGCATAACAAAGGGTCAGGCTAGGCATAACAAAGGGTCAGGCTAGGCATAACAAAGGGTCAGGCTAGGCATAACAAAGGGTCAGGCTAGGCATAACAAAGGGTCAGGCTAGGCATAACAAAGGGTCAGGCTAGGCATAACAAAGGGTCAGGCTAGGCATAACAAAGGGTCAGGCTAGGCATAACAAAGGGTCAGGCTAGGCATAACAAAGGGTCAGGCTAGGCATAACAAAGGGTCAGGCTAGGCATAACAAAGGGTCAGGCTAGGCATAACAAAGGGTCAGGCTAGGCATAACAAAGGGTCAGGCTAGGCATAACAAAGGGTCAGGCTAGGCATAACAAAGGGTCAGGCTAGGCATAACAAAGGGTCAGGCTAGGCATAACAAAGGGTCAGGCTAGGCATAACAAAGGGTCAGGCTAGGCATAACAAAGGGTCAGGCTAGGCATAACAAAGGGTCAGGCTAGGCATAACAAAGGGTCAGGCTAGGCATAACAAAGGGTCAGGCTAGGCATAACAAAGGGTCAGGCTAGGCATAACAAAGGGTCAGGCTAGGCATAACCAAGGGTCAGGCTAGGCATAACAAAGGGTCAGGCTAGGCATAACAAAGGGTCAGGCTAGGCATAACAAAGGGTCAGGCTAGGCATAACAAAGGGTCAGGCTAGGCATAACAAAGGGTCAGGCTAGGCATAACAAAGGGTCAGGCTAGGCATAACAAAGGGTCAGGCTAGGCATAACAAAGGGTCAGGCTAGGCATAACAAAGGGTCAGGCTAGGCATAACAAAGGGTCAGGCTAGGCATAACAAAGGGTCAGGCTAGGCATAACAAAGGGTCAGGCTAGGCATAACAAAGGGTCAGGCTAGGCATAACAAAGGGTCAGGCTAGGCATAACAAAGGGTCAGGCTAGGCATAACAAAGGGTCAGGCTAGGCATAACAAAGGGTCAGGCTAGGCATAACAAAGGGTCAGGCTAGGCATAACAAAGGGTCAGGCTAGGCATAACAAAGGGTCAGGCTAGGCAGCTCCAGTAGACTACTTTAAAATGCAACAGAGTGCGGGAGCCATGCACATGTGTGTGTGCTGCTCAATGAAATCCGATCGTGTCACACAAGTTTGCAGCCTGCACCAGTACACCATCCCAGTGTTGGCAGGGGTCTAGACTCTAGGGCTGGACAGCACCCGCCGGCGTGGTGGCACTGACTAGCTTGATCGGATTTCAGTGAGCAACAATACATACATGGACACAGTCAACAGTGTCTGGTGATCACCAAGCCCAAGCGCGTCAAACTTGAAGTAACGGTGGAAACTACCTCTTATCTCCTGTGCCTTGATTTCACTATAGGCACAGGTGTGTGGGCCCATGTCACTCCCAGCCGTTCAAGGATACACGACATAAGGAGCACCGATAGAATAGCATAAATACGAACAGGTGCAAATACGAATAGGTTCACAGATAACTTTTAAAAAGATCTCACCGGCAGAACTCGACCCCGCAGGGACACTTCACCCGTCATAGCCGTGTCTGAGCGTACACAACGGCCACTGTTAGATGAAGGCAGAGGACGCAGAGAAAAAGAAGATGAAAAACATCCACAAGCAGCCACTATCATAGCACTAACATCCAGTCCGCCGTGTCTGATAACTCAGCGTTCTCTCCACTGACGACATGATGCATGCATTGCCATGATACATGATTCTGCCCTGATACATGATTAGGGGTGAAACAATTATACCGAATACTCGAGTACTCGCTCGGTTTTTTCAAAAATAATCGTACTCGGAATAAATCAGAGTACTCGTTCATACATGGTACATGCATTTACCACAGAAATCTGCAGTTTCAGAGCAGCAGTCGGCAGATATTGACGTGCAGACTGTGTTGTGAACATTTGTTCACGAGTAGAGAGAGCCCAAATGACCCACCAACCACTATACCCGAGAAAAATGACTGCCACTCGGTTCAATCAGGGTTGTATCATGTGATTTTAAGGCCCTTGGTGTGCAATTTTTAGGAGATGAAGAATACTCGAATACTCGAATATTCGATCGGAGAAAATCAGAGTACTCGAACTCGGGATCTCAGTGCCAACTTTCACCCCTATACATGATTGTACAGTCGTGACCAAAGAAATCCGACCCACATGCCGATAGCAGTGCCAAGGCTCATGCTGCCCCGGATCGATTTTCGGAATGTGCACGGTGCAATTGAAATGGAAATGCGGCGCTACTTTTCGACTCGTGGGTCGGATTTTGCACAGCACAGCACCATGTACAATGTATAAAATGTGCTGAAAAAATACCAGCAGTCTGGCTGTAACGAGACAATCAACACTATACAGAGCATGAATTGAACGTACCTGTCAAGTCCACTACATTCGACAACGTTACACAAACATACTGCATAGACCCTAACCTGAGCAGTGATATCAGCACCACCAGTATTGTGATGCCGGCTGACGGGCCGTCCTTGCCAACAGCACCGGCCGGGAAGTGAATGTGAATGTCCCGATCCTGCATCAAGTCTTTCCTAGCAATACTGCCATTTGTCCCTGCTGTCACATCCCCATTGAGCTGATACTGCAAGCAGACAAGCAGACAAGCAAGATTGGGAATAGCAAACTGCATTCTCACCAGTGTTGGTGGAATGAATGTTCACCGAGCGCGCGTGCGCGTGCACACGTGCACACACGCGCGCACACACACATACAAAGACACACACACGTACATACGCACACACACACACACACACACACACGCACACACACCATGTACACACACACACACACACACACACACACACACACACACACACACACACACACACACACACACATGCGCATATACACACATGCACACACGCACACACACACACACACACACACACGCACACACACAAACACACACACACGCGCGCGCACATACACAGAGGAGCACACTGCCCTGAGTTGCACAAGAAAGTCACCAGCCAACAACATTGCAAGCAGAACACAATCATGGTGTGTGGGTGGGCGGGGTACTTACAAGTTCTGCGTGTGCTCTAATCCAGCTCATGGCAATCCTGGCTGACTCCTTCATGACATCACCTGCAATTAGGGAGATGCACGAAGAAAGGAGCAACTAGACAGGCACAATGCAGTGGCAAAAACCAAACGGGAGCAGCTTCGAAGACTATCTAGTGTCACTTCAGCATTAGAGAAGAAACACGTGTGTGTAGAGTGATGGTTGAACTGCAGAGCATGTGCAGTGACAGCCGCACGGGGTCTGCTGATGCCAGTGAACATTTCCAGCTCTCTCACCTAGGTTGCCAGTGACGGAGATCTTTCCTTGACCAGGCATGCTTACTGCCTCTACAAAGAGCAGCACACCACCGTGAGCAGTCCAGGCTAAACCTGAATAGCGCAACAGCAACAAGAACAGCAGCAAAAAGAAAATATTTCATAAGTGTACAGCTTCATGTACATGTAAATTGATATACTTCAGAAGTACGTGACTACTGTGTAAGTACACATTTTCGTTTACGAAATCTTTCGTTAGATCACTCCACCAGCAGGTTATTTCGTTTTTGGTCGAGGTCTGTCACCCCGAACGTTCAGAAGGGTCAAGGAATCGAAGTTCGCAGTGCAGGCACTAAGTGCCATCCTCCAAACTTCACGTGAAATTCGAAAACCACTCGCGCATGCTGGCGGGCGCAAGGGCGGGACGTAGCAGCACACGGAACTATGTACAGTTGGAGTTGATGCTTGCTGGCCGGCGCCATGGCGGGAATGCAGAAGGTGAAAATCGAAAGGAAAGGGGTAATGCTATTGGTTGTTGTTTGCGAGAGGTACTAGGTGCAGTTGAGTATTCTTTTTCCAGTCTCCATGCTCCCAGCAATATGCCCCGTGCAAGTAAAGGCGAATCCACGGATGTATTCCAGTGGCCAAACGATGAAGTTCACCTCATGCTAGCTGTTTCGTTGGAGTACAAAACCCAGCAGGCAGCGAAGTGCGTCGACTGGGAGTCGATAAGAAACAAGTATCAGGATATTCTTGAGCTGCACAAGGAGAGACTCCCTGCTTCCAAAGAGGAGATTGAGAATATGAATGGTGGATGAGACTTCCCACATTGTCGCGATGAGCTGAAGCTAGGAAGTCTTTCGAGTAAGCTCAAGTCTATCCGGCACAAATACAGACAAGCTGTGGATTCGGGGCAAAGGAGTGGCCACGGTAGAGTGGTGATGATCTATTTTGAGCTTTGCGAAAAGCTGTGGGGCGGATCCCCTGCATCCGACCAGATTCCATGTGGCATGGAGTCTGTGGATTTATGTGACGAGCCATCGTCATCATCTGGAGAGAGTTTGTCATCTGTCCGCGCACCAGAAGAAAGCGCGGTCACCGACGTCCGCAGTGTTGCCGGTGATCCGGACGGCTCGTCGACACCTGACGCTGATGTTCCAACGCCACCTCCCGGTCTCGGTCTCCACAGACGTCGAGGAGGAGATTCCAACACCGATTCTGACACCGACAACAATCAACAGCCGCCGGAATCTTCTTCCTGATCACCTCAGCAATCACAAGCAGGAACGGCTGAAGAGAAAGTTGCCTGTTGATAGTCAGCTATTGGCCGTGGCAAAGGAGGATATAGCTCTGAAGAAGAAGTGCCTGGAGCAATCGGAGCAGAGCCAGAAGGCTCTTTCTGACAGTCTGTCTGCAATGTCTGCAAATATGCAGACCCTGACGTCTACAATCTCGCAGGGGTTCAACCTTCTTGGGCGGCTCCTGATTCCTGACACGTCCCTGCTGCCTCCACCAAGCCATCATGTGCCCATGTCTTGTCATGTCACAGGTCATTACCAGACTGGAACACAGGGTTTCCATGACCCTGCCAGCGTGTTTAGCAGAGCGCCTTCGCCCAGTTTCCAGTCCACACAACAAAGTTCATCTCCTGTGCCTGCATCACCAAGTGCTTATGATGTTCGGTCTCCGCGAAGGCAGTCTGCCGGTGAGTGGCCCAGCTATGACTCATCTCAGATGAATGATTAGTATGTTAAAGTTTCTGGTGGTTTCCGATTTCTCTGCTTTACGTCTCCATCCTGTTTTTCTGTTTTTATCTTTTTCGCTGTTAAGCGTTCTTTTGCGGTGTCAAGATGATGTGAAGAGAGAGAGAGAGAGAGAGAGAGAGAGAGAGAGAGAGAGAGACACACACACACACACACACACACACACACACACACACACACACACACACACACACACACACACACACCCACTGTTTGACATGAGCAGCAGCATCCTGATCTACTTCACCAGCGACAACAACGCTACTGTCCAACTACAAGCAACCTCTCAAGCAATCCCTTCGTCCTGACAAGCTCATTCCGGGATAGCTTAGCGCGCTACCTGTAGCTCATGAACGCTGCAGCGCTGTTTCAGTGTTTGTGCACTTTGTTTGAATATTTAATATTTCCCGCGAAATACAGTCCCGCACGGAATGGTTTCCATGACCGCGCTCCGTTTCCAATCGTTTTCACTATTTTTACCGTTTACACGAGAACGAAAACGTTTCAAAACACTTTAAAGTGTGTCTCCATTTCGTTCCGTTTAGGTATCGGTTCGGGTGTAAACGATAGTAGTAAACACAACGATTTCGTTCCGTTTCGGTTGTACTTCGTTGTCGTATAAACGCAAATCGTTGTCGTGTAAAACGCAGCCTTAATTCCAAATGAAACTTTGCATGCATCCAGTACTTAGATAGCGTAAGCCAAGTAGAGTTAGGGCTACGGCTAGTTCATGGAAATTCAAAACTTAGGGTCGGCTGCCCAAAGCTCCATGCTTGCTACACCGGCAAGTAAATGAACAGAAGAATGCAGACAGGACTACACTACATCGTACAAAAGTATACGCAGGATGTGACTCCTGCAGCATTGCTTTCCGCACCACACCCACCGCAGTACAGCGTAAAGTTACTACTAAAGTATACAACAGGCCATGCGATAAGAAATCATGGTCGTTCTGATATGTCCTGACACTTCTTCAATTGGTCGGACATGCCCGGACATCCCATTTTGCCACACATGTCTTTGAAAGGCGACTTTTTCAAATTTCTCACTCAACGATGAAGGATAGCACTGAGTTACTTCCGTGAAAATGCCCACTCAATTTCCAACATAACTTTGGTTCTACTTTACCGCTTTTGAAGATCTTGGGCTCGTGGGAAAGCTCTTGATGAAAGAAATACAATGAGCCCAAACTCGCCCAGAGCACTACTTATTGTCCACCACAACGCGCTCCAAACGCGAGTCCAGTTCCAGATCTGAGACGAGCTTGACTGCACCAACGTGCATTGAAATGCCCACGGAGTATTTTTCCGTATCGGATCGATCGGACACTTTTTCCGTTGCACGGATATTTCGCCAGGACAACGACCGAAAACGGTCGGAAAATGTCCGATGTCCGACCGTTAATTCATGCCCTGTACAGCGTGCAGTTTGACTGCATGTATTTTGGGCTCACGCCCCCTGGCACACATTATACTCCAGCTATGAAGTGTACAGTATCAAAAGTACTTTTGTCTTTATTTTTAGTCAGCCTTATCTTGGTGGAAGAAAACGGAAGTGTAAATTACACTCAGGTGCACATTACATGTATAACCCAGTAAGTAGATTGCTTTTCAGCATGAAACTCGTGAGTAGAGACATTTAACCACTTTTGTTCCACCAGATATTTCGTTTTTAATCCAGTAAGTATGGAAAGTACGGTGCAGTAGAACCTATCTTCTGCAGACACCCACACCCTGGGGACAAGACATAATTATTATCTTTCCTGTACAGTGAGGTGTCCTGGGCATGGAGATGTCCACTAAGGGTGGTGGTTCGACAGTATGCTACACGTTCATCTACTTGAGTACTTTGCAGCATGGAAAGGAGAGGGGAACAGCAAGTAGCACATACGGAAAGGAGATTTCTTGCCTTTATCCGAATACACCCCCCCCCCCCCATCCCCCAGTACAGGCACGGTCAGACAACCTCTCAGAATAGCATACAGTGGGAGGTCCTATGCTTCAACACACGACTCACCCATCGCAACACCCGGTGTGACAAGACGCTCTCCCAATTCTCGTTGGTACTCAACCGGCTGTGTGAGAATGTAGAGCAGCAAAAGGAGACCAATAGCCACATGACTACACAGTGCATGGGTAGTCTACATGTACTTAAGTATATCCTAACTGACTCTGAACACTGGTAAGTGAATACCACACTACGTGCACAACACTGGGTGCCGGCATTGTTATCTGTAGTTACACATGGGCTCTCCTGTTGTCTTGTCTACACTCGACACACTAATATACTCGTCTAGAAATAGACTCACAGATCCAGTTCAGGCACAAAATGGGGGGGGGGGGGGGGGTCAACATCACAAAGCAAACAAGCCTTCAG